ATTCATTATAATTCCTATAGTTAATAATACTGTATACCTGAAGGTTGCTAATAGATCTTAAATATTCTCACTACAAAAAATACATTGTAATTATGTGAGGTGATGGATGTGTTAACTAACTTTATTGTTGTAGTTATTCATAATATATATGTAAGCCAAATCATGTTGCATGCCTTAAACTTACACAATGTCATAGGTCAATTATGTCTCAATAAAGCAGGGAAAAAATTTAAAGTTACATAAAAAGGAACATAGTACCACCTATAGTTTTGCCAAAAGGATGAAATCTGAGCCTGATCCAGGTTCTTTGATCCAGCTGCAAATTTGTAGGAAATACTGAGGACAGAGGAACCGATTGAATTGCACCCTGAGAATATGGTTAGCTGTGGGAAGCTCTGCAGATCGGTGGCCCTTGTTTTCTTCGATGGATAAATTAGAAGAAAAGAAGGGAGAGGGAACGTGTGGATTAGAAGAACTTAAGGATGTATCAAATTTTTTAAAAAATGAGCACAACCAAACTATAGAATCAGGACGGACCCCTCGACTGATAAAAATATAAAGAAATACAAGGAAGTGAATATTGTAAGTCAGATAGCAGTTACTTTTGGGGGAGGAAAGGAGTTGTGATTGTGGTGGATACAAGGAGGGATATCTGAGGGGGATGGTAAACTTCTGTTCGTTGACTTGGGTGGTGGTTACAAGGATGTTTGCCAAATAGTAATGCATTGAGATATGCATCTGTTCTGTGTGGCTTTTCTGTACCTGTTTTCCTTTATAATAAAAAGTTAAAATAGAAAATATTTTAAAGAATATAGTGCATACTATATCTTTTTTGTTTGTTTTTTTTTTGCTAGATTATGTTTACTAAGATTAGTCTAAAATGTATTACTAAATTATGTTTAATGAGTTCTGAGAAATTCTGTCATACACTTGTTTTCTTTGTTCAAGTGAACACACACATGCACAAACTCAAAACCAAATAATTGATGCTTAGGTTATACTGGAAGCCGCCAGATGAAGTATCTGATTGCTTCAAGGAGGAGTTTTATTTTTATAATAACCCTTATTCTAAGCTAAGTACCTCTCCAGAAATTTTGACATTGATTATACACCAGGCCCCTGAGGCATTATTTCAGCCACACATGACCACCTCCTGCAGGCCTTTGCCCAGCTGGAGCTGGGTCATCTTCCCTCTAGCGGGGGTCTCTTCTTGATCCCTATTAAACATCAAAAGGAGATTAAATAACTTTCCTCAAAGATTTTATTTGGTTTGGCCAAGATCCATTTTTAGTGTTAAAAATCTATAAAGCGTGAGGATATAGTGAAGATACAGGGTCTGGACCATCAGTGTGTGACTGTAGACAATGGTCAGGTTAGACTGGCTGCTAAAATGGCCTATCACGTAGCTTGTACAGAAAATACCAAAAGCTTGAAGTACCCTTTTGTACCATTAATGTTAATCATTGTGTGTGAAAGAAGTATTTTATTCTTCTGAACTTTATTCTATCTGAACTTAGCAGATGTCTGAACTTCAGGGTCTAGAGTGCGTTCAGCCTATCACACTAGTCAACTCCTGGATGTGTTTGTGGCCTCTTGTGCTCAGTAATGCTGCCCAGTTCACTTTTTATTTATCCTTCAGAGGTTTATTTCGTCATTCCTGTGATGGTTAATTTTACGTGTCAGTTTGACATGGGTAAGGGATGCCCAGGTAGCCAGTTCTGGATGGGTCTGTGAGGATGTTTCTGAAAGAGATCAGCATGTGAATTGGCAGATTGAGGAAAGAAGGTCACCCCAACCAATGGGGGTGGGCATCGTTCAATCTGTCAAGGGCCCAGATAGAATAAAATGCCAGAAGAAGGGCGAATTTACTCTTTGTTTGAGCTAGGACATCCATCTTTCCCTACCCTTATACATTAGTGTTCCTGGTTATCTGGCCTTCAGACTTTGGACTGAGACTTACATCATTGACCGCCCTGGTTCTTAGGCCTTTGGGATTATGGTATCAGCTTTCCTGGGTCTCTGGTTTGCAGACTATACATCATGGACTTCTCAGCCTCCACAATTGCAGGAGCTAATCCTCATAATAAATCTCTCTCACTTTCTTTCTCCTTATACCCTATTGATTCTGTTTCTCTGGAAAACCTTGACTAATATAATTCCCCTCATCCCAGAAATACAATGAAGTAAAATTATCGTGAATTCTTATTCTAGAGATTTGAAGATAGTCAGTTTTTACAAATACTCAGTAAATATTTAGCTATATTCTCTAGCAGCAAACAACTTACTTGCAAACAGCAAAGATGGCACCTAGCAGTTGTAACTCAAACAATGTATATGGTTATGTTTTTCTTTGAATTTTCTTCTCTTTTTAAAAAGCGTGTACATTTTTCATTTTTAAAATAATATGAATCATTACAGAAAAACTTGAAAAATGAAAAAATTCCTGTATTCTCATTCCTATAAAACAATCATGGTTATAACTTTGTATATTTCTTTCTAGTCTATTTTGGTATGGATGTTTTTTTCATAGTTGTAATAAGAACGTGCATATACTTGTGGTTTTTTTCCTTTTAAATTTAGCCTTAGTTAATTATGATATAATCATATACATATTTCCATGTTGCATTGTTATCACAACAGTAACTTTTTTACTGCATTAATTTTTATCATTTGGTTCTAACATATTTTTTAACTGTTAATGTATTTTTAGTCAGTATATTTCCTATCACATTTGAGCAAATATATTTTTGTATAATGTATGACATTATGCACAATGTGTTTTGGTTATTACTGCTCTGAATTTTTAAAGTAGATTATTAACAAATGTCATGAATTTCAGTAAACTTCCATCTAATTTTTCTTTCAAGTCTGTCATAGAGTCTAACAAATCCAGTTATTGTAGGAGTAGGAGGCATATATTAATTTGCCAACTGTTGTTCTACCCAAAATCTTAATTATATATGACTTAATAAAGCATATAAAACTTGAGCGAGCTAGTAATCTTGTTTACATCTAGAAATTGGTCACAGAATAGCAGAAACTTCTGGTAGAAGATGCGGGTTCTTTGAAGCCCAGGGAGAGGTAAGGCAACATTTTGGAAGTGTGTAATGATGTGCATTCTTGGGAGATAGGTCTTGGTTTTTACCATATGTTCAAAGGAATCCAATAACTAGTGATATGAGCACAGTGTTTGCTACTTGAATAGAATAATATTTTTAGTGAGTTTCTTTGTGTATTTGTTGTTGTCTCTTTCTCTGCTTTCCCCCTTCCCTCTCTTTCTTCATTCATTATATTTAGTAATAGAACTCAGAAAAATATTCCCTTTGGTGAGCAGTGATTTGTCACAGGAAAGTTTGTAATGACTTAAATATTTTTGAAGAAACTGAGCACATGTGAAATTGTTAATTGAAAACTGCATCACTCTGTGTTGATTTTGGTAAGTTTCCCACTGAAGTCAGTAAATTAGTGTTACCTTTCTTTTCTAAAGGTTTTTTTTTGTTTTTTTTTTTGAGAGAGAGAGAGAAAGAGCGTGCGAGTGCACATGCATACACATGCATGAGTGGTGTAGGGGCCGAGAGAGAGGGAGAGAGAGAGTATCCCAAGTAGGCTCCACACTGTCAGCACAGAACCCTGTGCTGGGCTGGAATGCACAAATCATGAGATCATGACCTGAGCCAAAATCAAGAGTCGGACGATTGAGTGACTGAGCCACCCAGGTGCCCCAGTGTTACCTGTCTTTGTTAGAATTTTTAAAAAAGCATTAGCAGGGGGCTCCTGGGTGGCTCAGCTGGTTAAGTGTCAGACTCTTACTTTTGACTCAGGTGATGATCTCACAGTTTCATGAATTCAAGCCCCACATTAGGGTCTGTGCTGATAGCTCAGAGCCTGGAGCCTCCTTGGGATTCTGTCTTTCCTTCTCTCTCTGCTCCTCCCCCACTCATGTTCTCTCTCTCTCTCTCTCCCTCTCTCTCTCTCCCTTCCCCTCAAATAAAGGAATAAACTTAAAAAAATAAAAAATAAAAATAAAAAAGTATAACTAAAATGCTGATCATTAAATAAATTTATGCTATTAATACAGGTTATTATGTTTTGGCAAGTCCATTGATTGAGTGTTGAAATCATTCATCAAATGCAGTTATCTTTTTACTCTGTTATTTGGAAAGCAATGCTTTGAAGTAAAGTAGAGTAAAATTTGAGACTTTCTAAGTTTTTGCACAACTAAAGAAAATAGGCACTCTATGCAAATAACCTTAAATAAAATTATTTTTAGATATTAAAAAATCTTAATTTTTTTTCTTGACTTCTAATATGTTTCATTTTTAATTTGAATATAGTTGACGTACAATACTACAGTAGTTTTAGGCATACTACATAGCGGTTCAGCAAGTTTAGACATTATGCTATGTTCACCACAGGCATAGCTACCATCTGTTCTGATACATTGCCATTACAATAGCAGTGACTATATTCCTTATGCTGTGCCCTTTATTCCTATAACTTATTCACTGCATTACTGGGAACCTGTATCTCCTACTCCCCTTCAAGCACTTTGCCTAACCCTCTGACCCCCTTCCCCTCTGGGAATCATCAGTTTTCTGTATTTATAGATCTGATTCTGCTTTTTGTTGTTTGTTCATTTGTCGTTGTTGTTCGTTTTTTTATTCCATTTATGATTGAAATCATATGGTATTAGTCTTTCTGACATTTCGCTTAACATAATACTCTAGATATATACATTTTGTCTCAAATGGCAAGATCTCATCCTTTTTTGTGGTTGCATAATATTCCTGTGTGTGTGTGTGTATGTATCACATCTTCCTTATTCATTGTCTATAGATAGGTACTTAGGTTGCTTCCATGAATCTGTCCTTCTTTAAAAGATAAAATCTTAGTTATTTTCGATTACCAAATGACATGAACAACTTCTCTTTTCTAATTAAAGTTTCTAATATGCAATTACTACTTGTTTTTGAAAAAGGACTACCATATGTTTTTCTCAGGAATGGGCTGTTTCTGGGGAGCTGAGAGGAAATTCTGGACCATAAAAGGAGTATATTCAACTCAAGTTGGTTATGCTGGAGGCTACACTTCCAATCCTACTTATAAAGAAGTTTGTTCAGGTATGAAGAATTTGTTCCAACTTCTGTTATAAGGAGCAAGAAAGGGCTTGTCTCTGCTGGCAGGTGACAGGATCTTTAAAATGCACATATAATTTTTGTGTTTCCTCAGTCTTTTCTTTCTCGCTTCTATAAATATATTTATTGGCCTCTCACTTTATATTTTTAGAAGATAATAGATTTCTTATGGAATGTATCATTTAGCTGCTGTTGCAGAATAATCACCACAAAACGTAATTCTAAAGGAATCACATATTAGCTTATGATTATGTGCGTCAGGAATTTTAGCTGGGCTTTTCTTGGAGGTTCTTCTGCTGGTCTTTTCTGAACTCACTCATGTGACTCCAGTCAACTGGTGGGCTTCCTGGTGACTAATTGGTCTAGGATGGCTTCACTGATAGGTCTGCATTTGGTGCTGGTTGTTGATTTTTGTTGGCTGGGGTAATTGGAATGATGGACCATGTCTTCAGCACATTGGTCCCTGGCAAATTCTCAAGTTGGTGGGTGCAGAGATTCCCAGGAATAGCAAGAGAGGATAAGCCCCATTCCGTTAGCACCTTTCAAGCGTCTGTTTATATCACATTTACACTTGTCCATTGCAAGTCACATGTGGGACTAGAATCAATATGGGAGGGATCCCCCAAAGGCAGGACTGCAATAGTTTGTTACATGGGACAAAAGTATCACACACCATAATTGTTTCTCTGTGGGTAAGACATTAAAATCTAGTCTATAATCAAGGGATTGGCAAACAGGTTTGCAGGCTGCCCACTACCAGTTTGTGTAAACAAAGTCATATAGAAACATAGCCACAACCATTTATTTATATATTATGCATGAATGCTTTCATGGTACAATGGCAGAGTTGAGTGGATATGACAAAGATGGTATGGTACAAAACCTAAAATATTTATGATTTAGGCCTTTTCAGAAAAATATTTGGCTACCAGGATAGGCAGATGCCCCATGGCAAATTCTAGCTCAAGTACCAGGTAACCATTCTGGATTTGGTTTTTGTTCTGGCCTTCAGGGATTTCCTTTACTTCTCTGCCAGCTCAGTTAGCATTTATTTATTTATTTTGAGGGGGTGGGGTAGGGTAGGGGGAGCAGAGAGAGAAGGAGGGAATCTCAAGCAGGCTCTGCACTGTCAGCACAGAGCTGGATGCAAGACTTGAACTCACAAACTGTGAGATCATGACCTGAGCTGAAATCAAGAGTCAGACACTTAGCCAAGTGAGCCACCCAGGAGTCCCATCAGGTAGCATTTAAAACATAGTTTCTTTCTTTTAAACCCTTTTTTTCATTTTTCAAAAAAAATGGTATGCATTTAAGATGTATGACATGATATTTTGCTATACGTAGTGAAATGATTACTAATAGTCAAGCTAATTAACATTAGCTTAACTAATGTTCATCTCCTTATTATCATCTCCATCATCCATAACATTATCATCTCACGTACTTTTCTTTTTGTAGCAACAGTATCTGTGATCTACTCTCTTACCAAATTTCAAGTGAACAACACAATATTATTAACTGCCATTACCTTGCTGTACATTAGACCTCTGGAACTAATTCATCCTACATAAAGAGAACGTTTGTAACCTTTGACCAACATTTCCCTGTTTCCTTCTACTCTTGCCCCTTTCTACTCTCTGCTTCTATGAGTTTTTTGGGTTTTTTTTTCTTTTTTTTTCTTTTTTTTTAGATTCCACATACAATTGAGAACATGCAGTATACAATTTTTTCTGTGTCTGGATTAATTTCACTTAGCATGCTTTCTTCCAGTTTCATCCATGTTGTTGCAAATGGCAGAATTTCTTTTGTGTGTAAGGCTGATTAATATTCCATTGTCTATATGCCATGATATCTTTATCCATTCTTCTGCTGATAGACACTTAGGTTGTTTCCAAACCATGACTATTGTGGATAATGCTGAGGTGAATGTGGAGAATAGCTCTCTTTGAGTTCCTGATTTCATTTCACTAGGCTATACAGCCAGAAGAAATATTGCTAGATCATTTGATATTTTATCTTTAATTTTTTGAGGAACATCCACACTGTAAAATACATTATTTAAAACGAATATTTCATTCAATATTTTAAGAGTTCCTAATAGGGAGGGCTTATTATCTAGATATATAGTCCAACATATTGATAAAAATGGGATTTTAAAAATGCATAAATAGTTTTATCTTTTAAAAATAAAGGGTTGAATTGGTGTAATTTGGGGAGGGTCCTCTCAACTCTCCGAGGACACCTTGTATGCAGGTTAGGGAGGAGTTGGAGTATGGGAGTTTGTTCAATAATGAGCATGTTGGCTTGTTTGCTACAATATGAATTCTGATTTGGAAATGAAATATAAGCTGTGCAATATTGAAAATGTCATGAAAACATGCATTTTCTTTCTTTACTTGCCTTTACAAAAGAATTGAAATACACTCATTGGTGTTGAGAATGTGGAAATTGAACAAATGCTTTTCATGGTTAATCCAATTTTTTTTCCTTGCATCTGTTTCAAAATTAAACAAATGCTTATGCAGAGCTATAAATAGATTCAGATGAACCCTGGAGATTGCCCAGGTGTATCCTCTTAAGTCTCAGGAATGGAAATGAATAGATTCCTTCCGATAATTGCAGACATGACTTAATAGCCTAAGAGAAAAGGTTGCTAAGAAAACCTCCAAATATCTACTGCTTATACCATTATTCTCCACCAGCAAAATGTTAATAATCAATTAGAATACTATGGTTGCTTGTTTGCTGAGACTTGTTCCAATTCAGCTCTTTATGTTAGTAAGAACAGCATGCTGATTGCCTTTGTTGAACTCCTACTATGTGCCAGACACTGTAATAAGCACTTTTTCCACCTTTACTTTTCTTTCAACCAATCTTCCAAAGAATTCTGTGAAATGTCTCAGTTTCTGTCTTTTACACAGGGAGTGTTGAGGCTCAGAGAGGAAAAGTAACTTCCCTAAGGTCGTGTATAGCAGGAATTCCAACCTCATCAGCTCTCAGCTCTAAGTTTATGCCACTGAGCATGGTGTCAGTCACCCACCTGTCATATCCCAGTGATTCTCCATTCATCCAATCATACTTCCCTCTACCAGGTCACACAGTCTCTTTCATGTCCATCCTTCTGCTATACTTTTGAAAAATTGGTGTGCTTTTTAATATTACAGTAAAGAAAATACCAAGCAATTTTTTTTGCCTCTCTGATGTTTAGAAGGACAAAGAACAGAACTCTTTTAAGATACAGTTCATGGAAACAGCTGGTATCTTAGAGTCTTATACAGAAGCCAAGGTTGGTAAAGAACTCTGTATTTGATGTGAACACTACTTGCTAAGTTAGTGGTGGCGTTGGGAAACATGGTTGTCATGGAAACTTGTTCCTGATTGGGAAAAGATGGTTATGGGGTCTTAATCCATCCAGACACAGAAAGAGAGATGATTTCTTTCCCTGGGCTTTTTTTTTGGTCTTGATCATGAAAGGAAAAAACAAAAAGACAGAGAGAAACCGATAGAAAGGACCCAACAGAAGTGGTAGAGCCTTCAGATCCCTGAAATAGCAGGGAAGGAGAACAAACAAGATCCTCAGCTAGAGTAATTTGGTAACCGGCTAATTAAAGGTTTTTGACCAAGGAGAGGATGGGGGAGACAGAAAGCAGGTTATACTGGCAGGACTTCCTTGCTGAAGCCTCGGGTGCTCAAAGCCTTATTGAACGAGTCAGCCCTGGAGGGATCTGACTTACAAGGAAGAAAAACCAAGGCTCCACTAAGATGTATAATAATTGCTGAGGTTTCATATGAGAGAACTACTAGTCTGTGCTCCAGTATCTGGATTAATTTCAAGATGACGTACTCCTTGTGTTTGTAATTAAGTTTGTAAAATTTTGGTCACAACCAAAAGTTTTTTGTAAACATATTCATTCATTCATTCATTCATTCAAGAAATGAAGTCTATGGACCTAGTCTGTCTGCCAAATTCCTTCTTTCATGTCGCAAGTACACTGGAGCCTCAGATACCATTTGGTTTCTTGGGGAAGGTACTAGAATTAGAGGGGTAGCACTCAGAGTGGGGGCAGGGGGCAATTTTCAAAATCCAAAGGTCCAGAGCTAGCTATTCTAGCTCTACCATTTCCCCCTCCCCCCACCCCCAACCCAACACACGATGACTAATGGCAGAAATTCCACATCATTGTCTTGGCACACAGATTGGTGATCACAAGCCATGGAATCAGAAACATTGGCTGAAGTTTGTCATGTGCACATGCTAGCGGGTAGGCACTACCTCAGGGGATGAGTGAGCGAGCTAGTGTGTGTGAGTGAAAAGCATGCATATCCAGGTAGGATGCATATTAATGTTGGAATGGTATTTCTTTGAGGCTATCGATGCCCCTGTGATTCTGAAACCCGAGCTTCAGGCACATAGAAAAGCTGTATGACTTCTAGTAACAACCAGGAAAAGAGGTGATCCCATGGTGACACATGAATAGAGTTGACTCTGACATGTTGGTGGAACATTCTTTGATGGCTCACTAATAGGTATGTTACATGCCGGGTGATCTGTGTGATACTTGAGCCTGACATCTATACAAGATACAAGGGACAACAATTCCTCAAGGCACTAAAGTTGCCTTTTGGGAATAAAGTATAAAATAAGCCTGCAGTGCCTCAGACTGGAGGCAAGCAGTCACTTAGAAGAGAGCTAGACTTCCAGGTCTATAGGACCTCCAAGTAACCCAATGGAATGCCCTTGCCCTATGTAAAAAGGATGAAAAAGAGGGCCTTGGCAGGGAGGCTGTTCAACCAGTCCAACCTGGGAAAGGAGAAGACCTGAGGGCACCCTCCAGGTTGCTCTGTAAGGTTTGGCTGCTGGACAGAGTCCCAGAGCCTGACACCCAATGCTTTTAAGTGTTATCAGTAACTCCTCTTATTCTGATCCATACTCTGTAGAAACTTCTCATCTTTTGTCTTCCTGTGGAGATTATTTACAGGAAGAA